CTCAGATTCTTAGATGAACTTAATGTTGTTATGCAGGGATTGTGCTGCTGTATTAGAAATTAAATTAAGACATTTTTGTTATCTCAGCAAGTTTTGTCTTTGGTTTTCGTGCATCTGCGTGAACAGATTATGGATAGGTGTATGTATTCTGTACTGTTCCCCAAGGCTTTTCTAACTTAGTAAAGGACCAGTAACCATATTTTCATCTTTTTCCAGATGAGTGTAATATAGCTAAACAAAAATAAAAATGTAAAATTAAGTTAACGTTTATATTCCATTTACTTGTAAATAGCTGTGCTTCTTGTAAATTGGTTTTGGTCAGAAATAACCAGATAGCATTTGCATCTTCTCGCTTGTGCTGGTCAACCTTCTGACATCCCTAAAGCATTGCAGACCTTGTAGGACCCTGCAAAACCATAACCTCTCTGCCAGTGCCGAAAGAGACTTCCGCGGAGATGTGGTGGGACGTGTCCCCTGTCACTGAACTCCTGTCCTTTCCTCTGCGTGCTGGCACTTGGAGCATTTTGAGTTGTTGTGAAACCGTGAGGAGGCAGTGTTCTGAGACATCGTCCTTGTGTAATTGTGCCTGTGAGCATCCTTAAGTGCTGGTATGAAAAGTGGGACGGGACGTCTGTTCTGCAGCACACTGAAAAGGTGCGACTTGGCAGTTTTTGTTACACTTGTTAGACAATAAATATTGTAGAGCAAGGCGAGGTGGAAGCCAACATGTGGCAGTAGCTTCTGCTGCTTATTTCCTGATACCCGTTTGGTTTTTACTGACATTTATAGAGAGCTTTTATAGTATTTTAAATCTTTTTCCATTTGGGACTAGTACCGAAGTCACAAATACAAACCACTGCTGAAGCTGGGAGGTATTTGGTTGTCAAGACCCGGTGCTCTCAAGTTCTGGCTTAGCGGAATCACGCTGTGCTCGTGCCAGGTCTTGTTCCCTCTTCACTGGGTGTGCAGGGCAGCATTGTGGTAACTGCTCTGTCAAGGAGAGATCTAAAGCCATGTCATCTTCAAGGTTTCTTACAAGAAGTTTGTTTCTGGCAGTCTCCTGGGAACTTTACAGGCTGCCCTGGCAGTAGGAAGTCAGGAACAAATCAGGCCAGAATTTGCTTCCAGACTTTTAAAGCTGTTTTTTAAATCAGGCACAGCTTTGTTTTGGTGGTTTTTTGTTTGGTGTTTTTTGTTTGATTTTTGTTTTCTTTAAATGAAACTGAAATGTCACCTGTAATGTTTTAGTAATAACTGAGTTGTAAAGTTTCTGTAACTTTGAGAATAAATCAAAATAGTTGCCTTGTCCAGAAACTCTCTACCTGGCATAACTCGGGAGAAGTGCCCAAATGCGTGTTATGTTTGGATAAGTAGTTGGGGGGCAACAGTGATAAAGGTATGTTAAAAGCTTATGGTTTAAAAAGGAATTTAAAAATCACTATACCAGGCTTGAATGGGGAGTCATTATATTCCTGCTCCAACAAGCCCCTAAAGATGGCCTGAAGGGAGGAAGCAATAAGGCTCTTACCCAGCTCAAAATAGTAAGAAAATACAGTTGGGCTGCTCCTACACATCAGGCAAAGGGAGAACTGGAAATCAGAGCATCTTGTTTACACAGGAGAACTTGAGATGAAATTCCTTGGCCTTTCTTTGTATCCCAAGACGCGCAGTTCATCTGCCTGCCTGATGTAGGAGGCGAGTTGGGGTGGAAGGGGGTGTGGCAGGATGGAGCTGCTTAGGATGTCTGGGTAATTTATACTCTGTAGGTTGCCTTTACACCTGCATTAATTGTCTTGTTTGGCAAAACTTTTATTATTAAAAGAACCTTTTTTATTAATAACTCTTCTTGCACGCTTTAAAATGTGTTTTGTAGCTGGAGCAGGGCTGTTGTGAAGGTGGTTGTGTGTCTGGAGAAAGATCTGGAGTTACTGAGCCTGGACTTCTTGATTTGTGTTTTGTTTGTTTTTTTTTTTTCCTTGAATCTGTTTTGTTTGCATTGGTCTCAGCTGCACTTACAAAAGGAACTTCCTCCTCGTGTGGACTGACAAATATGAAAAGTAACTAGTGGTTTTAAAGAATTTCTTTCTTCACTCTCTGTTCAGACCTCTTATTTCATATATTGTACAAAGCTTTCTCTCTGTCCTGGTACTGAGTACCAGTGTAGCATTACCTATACATAGGGGAGTATCCAGTCTTCTACTTGTCTCCTGTATTGTATCTATGCCACTACTTAATATTTCCAAGAAAACAAACAAAACAAAAATCACTGTTATGGGCAGCTCCAAAACTCCTTGTTGCCTATCAAGGAAATACATTCTTAATACCATGTAGTTAGTGGCTGTTTTATGTCCTCAGGCATGTTGGTTTACATCTCCTTAACAAGAGCTGTACTAGGCAGCTTAAAGTTGTTCTTGTTTATGGACACGGTTAGTACTCTGAATTGCAGACTCTTGGCTTTTCCTTCTTGTGCTGGTGAAATCCACACTCTTCGTTCCTTTTTCCTCTTGGCCGTGTCATCACTTTCCGTGATAGTCTTGCAGATCTCTGTTTTCCAGCTTCCGGCGTGCCCGGAGTTCTGGTGCCTTCCTCTCTTGGATTCCCTAAGAAACATGGTGCTTGTCACATCTTCCAGCTGTCCCACGGTACTACTCATGCACTTGTAGTTTTGTCCATTCAACTTCATACTTACCAGTGATTATAAAAATCTTTCTCTGACTCTGATGCTTATTTCTCCCATGTGCTATAAGGATAAGTGAGGTATGAAAACCTGATTAAACCAAGTTTTCTCAGCAGGTTCATTGGTGTTTTCCAAATACGATTTTAATAAGTCACAGGAATGTTCAGATTATTAGAGAGACACTACACAGCATTGCATTTCTTAAATATATTTAATGGTAAGTTTAACAGCATCGGTATGGTACTGTACTTGTTCCTTCTAAAAAAGCATTTTTAACCAGTTTAAAAGCAGAGTTAATTTGAAAGAAGACGTATTTTCAAGTAACATACAGTTAATTTCTTGGTTTAAAACTGTATTCCAGAAATGTCTTCCTTTGCTTTTCCAAGAAAGTCCTAGTTCCAACTTGCATTCTAATAGGTGTAACTGCTGTTTAGTAGAAAGCTAAATTTTCAACTGATGTGGACTGGAAATCTCATGAATCGTCTAGTGAGTGACCTTTGAGTGTCATGGATAGCACAAAAATGGCATAAATATGATACAGATTTAGTTACTTAAGGAGATGCTTTGATGAATGTTCCATGTGAGCTAGCCTGCTGCCCATTGAGGAACAGGGATTAGGTATTTTTTCCCCACCTTTTAAAAACAGAGAAAGAAAAAAGCCCAAACCCACCTTTCTAAATCCAGTGGCCGGTATTTCTAATAGAAGTAGGTACATAGCAGATCTGTGCTTCATGTGAGAAGAGCGGAAGAGATGACTGCGTAACCAGGTGTACTCGGCTACACGCATAGATGAGGCCGAGCTGCGCTTCATGCTGCGTACGAGGTGCATGGCGCAAACCATCGGTGCCCAACAGCCAGCTCATCTGCATTGCTTGTGAGTGACTTGTTTGTAAGCTCAGCTGGTGCAGTTGGTTGGTTGTTTTCTAAGTTGGCTAAAAAAACCCCGAAGTAAAATGAAATGGCAGGTACTTGCTGTGCTGAGAAGCTCCAAGAGTCCATTCCTGGGGACTGTGTTCGTCAAGTGTGTGTTCTGTCTACTTAGGGCTAACTTGCATGTTTAGGCAAGACGTGCTGGTTGAGGGTAGATTTCCAATCTAGATTACACTCTAGCTCTGGATGAGCTCAGTGTAGTCAGAGTAACTTCAGATTTTCAGGGTAAACAAGCTCTTCACTGAGTGAAGCCCGTGAGCCCTGTACATGTCCCCTCTGCTGCTGCTGCTGAAGGAATTGCTTTGTTTGTTATCGGGGGTGGGGGAAGCCTTACATTTTTGCCTGACTTAAACTTTCCAAAAGATGAAAAAATTAAGTTATTCCTGGTTGTTGTTTCTTTTAAACCAAGCAAAGCAACTTCTGCAGGTTTTTGTGCTGAGCTGTTAGGTGGACTACTTTGCCTTGAGACCTGAAGTTGCAGTTACAGATAATCTTAAGAAGAGACACATATGAGAGGCATAGCCAAAATCCTCTGAGAGCTGGCACCCTTTGCAGGGTGTGGTGAAGACTGTCTTTTATGAGTGCTGCTAAAGGCCAGGGTGCGACCTCAAAGAAAACCTTCTGATTTGGTTGTAAAATATCTTTTTGGAGGATGGCAGTGGGTGGAGTGAACTGCTGCGTCATGGTTTTGTGTTTGACCTGTTTAATAATGTGATTATTAAGGTTTTTTGTGTGCAGAAAGACCAGCTTTCATGGGAGAAAATGTTGCAGGGATAAAGGCAGACAAATGAAAAAACTTCACCATTAAAATGGTCGATCCTAAGTAGGACTTAATTAGATTTAACATGGAAAGCTTGTACTTGAAAGACTCAAACCTACATAAGGAAGCCCACATCAGGAGGGAGACTAAATTGACCTTATGTTTGCATCAAAAGCAGAATATTTAAGTTTTCTCCTTACAGATGCAAAATCTCAAAGTACTTGCTTCTCATTTTTGAGACTGAGTCATCCCTGTGAGCGTGTTTTAGGTTTGGTGCATGTCTTTGCTGGAAGCATTTGTTGGAGGTATAACTTCATTTTGAAATGCTAGTGCTCTCTGGAGAAGGCCAGAACACTAGTGCAGGTAAAGGATATATCATCAAACCCCAATTTTATTACTCTTTGGTTTGGAACGATGGCTTTGCTACTCTAGTACTAAGGTTTGCTAGTGTGGCAATATTGGCAAAGCTTGTGTGCACTAGCTCTTATGGTTAATCTGGGGCAATATCATTAATTTGGAAAGACAGCTCCTTTCAAAAAGACAAGTGTGTCCCTCTTGTCTCCTGCAGTTTTGTTCCTGACACCCTGCTACAGCTGTGTAAGTAGGTCAGCGAACTGTGTTGTTTGCAATGCGATGACGTGAGAGCAGGTGAAAGTTTTGTGTTGCAGAGCATCAAAACCAAAGCGTCTGTCCTTTGTTTCCCAGATTTTTCAATTGTTGTTCACTGTAAATGTCGTAAACCTGCTTGAGGTGAATGTGGTCTAGAGCATTCTCATTTACAGAGGCGCAATCTTTGCAGACAGGTGTTTTCTTTACCTGTTTAGGTACCAATATACCAGCACTCTTTAAGATTTAAAGCATTCCAAGAGTTAGACTGCTGTTCTCGTTATAACTTATGTCACTATTGTAGGAACACATCGGTTATCTTTTTATAACAGTTCACAAATAAGGCAGAGGTTTTAAAGATAAAAATATTCCCACAGAATTCTGTCTGACTCAGGAAAGCAAGCTTTATCGGTGGCGGCTGAATTCTTTGTCTTGGTTTTCATTTTGTTTGTTGTTTTGTTTGGTTGTGGGTTGTTTTTTTTTTTTTTTAAATTACTATTCCCCTTCCTGTAAACTGTCAACTGTAAAAGGTAGGAAAAACAAGTTTGCAGACACATGGGCCCTTTCTCAATGTGCTTCTCGTGCATCTTAACTGTCCCACAACAGTGCTCACATAGGGACTTGGCTGTAAGGCTGGAAGTATGACCATGTGTTTTTCTTTGTTCTTTTAAAATGAGAGGTAAGTTGGAAGATCCATCTTAATTTTAACAAGAACCGTGGACAGTCTTAAACTTATCTCTTGGGTTTTTTTTTAATTACTTGAATCTGTTTTATGCTGTTAGATGTGAATTGTGACTCCTAGCAATATCAACATTTGTTCTTAAGCCATTGTTTTCATTTTAATGATTTACCTTGCTTATATTGTTGCTTACATACACAGAAGTAGTATTGGATTTTTTTTCCTCGTTCTGCCTTATGTAGTGTCATTTGAGATGACTCATTAGGATTGTATTCCGTAAGTGATGTGGAAGAGCAGATTCTAAATTTGTCACACAGACACAAAACATCAAGACACAACATAAACCCAGTTGTTCTTATGCCACTTGCTCAAGGTGTAGTATGTGCCGAGCAGTTTTCCTGACCAGGTACAAGAGGTTGGGGTGGATGTTATGCATTTATAGAATGCATACATTTATGTTACTGGAAGCAATTTCAACTTAAAATGATGATCTTCTTTAATTAAAAAATGGAAAACATCCTTTTAAAACATGTATGGAGTCACGCTGCTCAAAATTAAATTACTTAAGAAAACAGGATGAAGGAGTTGCCTTGTTTTGTTTCCCCCAGCTCTGTATGTGTCTCAGCTGTGCTCTGCTCCCAGCTAATGCGTTTTCTGGTTGGCTGTAGGGGTTTTATTTCCTTCTAAATCTTGATGTTCTGGTCTTTCATCTGAATTAAGGAAGACCAAGGCAGCCTTTTCTGCTGTGATTTGGCAACTTAGAGTGCTTTTAAAGTAATTAGGAATGTTGTCCAGAGTAGGAAGCTCTCACATGCATGTGCTGCAGCTGGGCACATCTCTGCACCTTGGTTGCTGATTGCCACTTCTAGCTTTCTGCCACACAAATCGTAAGCTGAATAAATCACCATGGGGAAGAGCACGGTGGAAAGAAAACATCCTCCTTCCTGGGGTACTGACAGATTGGAAAACCTCTGCTTAAGCATAGCTAGAAACATTTTTTCTAAAGTGAACTTTTATAGAGGACCAGGGTTAAGTTATTTCACAACGTGCTGTCCGCTCTGTCTTTCTGAACTGGGAACACACGTTTCGAAACTCTCTCATTCTGTCTGTTGCATGTGTTATGACGAGGGTGCCCAGACCTCACTTTGCTAGTGAGGTGTGGGTGCAGGTAACAGCTGATGCTGGGTGATGCAAGAGGAGGCATGGCTCCTTGCCCTTCGCTTACATACCTCCTACTTTTTTCCCCTCCTTCAGCTTTCTTTCCACATTAGACTCACAATTTTCTAGCCCCAAACCTGGTTACAATATGTCCTTGCATCGTTTTTTTCCTCCCCTCTTCCCAACAGCCAGTGGCCATCCTGCAGTACTGGATGTGAGCGACAAGGAGTACCTCCAACTGCTGTTTGGGAACTGTTCTCATGTCACAGCTCAGAAATGTTTGTACCCAAAAAAATAACCTAGTAGTTTATTAGCTAACAAATTAGTGTGACAGATGGATAACTACTGCTTCTCGGGACAGATGACAGGAACAAAGCTTAGTCTGAACTGGGATGCATTTGCATAAGGTGTGAATATTTGCCCACATACGAGTATCTATAACTTTGCAATCAGTGGATTTGTTCTCAAGGTTATTTTTCTGCTTTGAGTTTGTGTTTTGACCTTGCATCAGTGGTTGGTTTATTTCTTTTCAGGTTAACAACTGTTGATGCCTAAAAAAGTACACAGTAATTAGAACATCTAGCCTGATAAGACCCAAAACCTTTGAACAACACTTTCTTGTTACTAGGAGGCGTCAGTGTAAAGTCCATGCAAGAGGTGATTTAGCTTGGGTGTGTACAGGTGATGCTAAGATGAAAGTTAGTGATAAGTAGCACTAGTCCTTTCCCTAATCTCCCCATTAGTGCTAGCATGCAACATGTTTATTACATGCCTTGCATCTGTTTTAAGCCCCACAATGTGTTGGACTACTCAGATTCTGTGTAGATACTGCTGTGTATTTGACCATGCCAGCTACTCATACGTACCTGATACGTATGAAATACAGATAACCGTCTGACTGTCTCTCTTTTCTGGTGAAGGAAGCCAGATGCTGCAAACCTTGATACATTTTATGTCAAATTAAAAGAAAACACAGTTTCATGCCAGGAAACAAGATGCAGCTTTCATTACAAACCAAGAAACCCAAAGGTCGAGTATGTTGGCCTAACTAAAATTGAGATAGTTTGGATAGGCTTGAAAATGTGTGTAAAGAAGCCTTGATACTGGGTTAGAGTTGAAAACACGTGTTACTTTGTGTGTATATTCTCTTTCATTCATTTGGAGTTGTAGGCATGAAAAATGCACATTTCACGTGGGCAAGGATGGCGTGCATCGAGATGCACGTTGTACAGGATTGCTTAAGCTGCGTATTTGGTTTAGAAGTTTTCAGCTGACAAGTTGCAAATCAATGTCTGCTATTGCAGCACGTGCTTTATTGGAAGTCACGTAGACTGTTTAGAGAACAGGCTTAATTTTTCCAATCTCATTCCAAGTGTTAGGAAATAAACAATTTCTAATCCAGATTATATTGTTGTTGTTATTATTTGTATTATAACTTGTGCTAGGTGCTGTACAAACACAGAATGAAGCAGCTTAGCTTCAGACCTTGTACAGTCATCCGTATGCATCAGTAGCGTTATCTCCCAGAGTGTTCTGCTGGCTGGTGATGGGTCTCTTGCAGCATAGGAAAGCAATGTGAAAACAAGACCACAAATATGATTAACTTCAGGGCTAAAATTACCATCTTTATTCACACTTAAAAATAGCTCCTTATAGACTAGGATTTTATTTGACGTGAGTTATATCTTATTTTGTGAGAAACTAATTTATTCTGATATGAGGAAGTGAAGCAGAATCTGCCCTTAGCTAAGTCCTATTTATGTATTTACTTAGTATGAGTGTGGATAGCAGAAGACTGCGACAAACTGGATGCTTTCAGCTTAGCAAAGCCACAGCTTTTCACATTAAGAAACTAATTATATCTAAGAATATATTCAAATGAATATAAAAATGTTTTTAAGGCTTTTATTTTAATGTGCTGTGATGTAGATGTCTATATATACACAGAGGTAGTGCAACAAGTTTTCTGGTCTTTATATAATGTATTCTTCATTGCCTAAAGTATAGAAAAAAGATGTTCAAAATGATCTTTTAGCTCTTGTTGCTGTTTTCACTGAGCTGGTGGACACTATTCCTTTTCGAACACTTAAAGTTGTCTTTCCTGGAAAAAGCGTTTGCACTAACAGATGATGGAAAGCAAAGCTGTCTGTTGTATTATTATTATTATTATTTCCTCATCTTTTCTCCCAGTCCCCCTCCATTCTGTTCAAAGGCACATTAAACTGTTCCTGGTATTTTTAAAGAAATTGCTCATAAGTGAAGCACGTCCACTGATGTAGATGAATATTTAAAGCTCGGCTGAGCAGCACATGGGCTGTTTCCTACAACTGTGAGTGCGCGGTTTGGTTACGGCCAGGCATAGCATTAGGCTGATAACATCATAAACTACACAAAATGGTAATGCAATCCAAATATTTGTGCTGCCAGTCTATATTCTGATCACATCTGCTCACTGTAATTATTTTTTTCTTGGTAAAGTGTTTTTTGTTTTGTTTTTTTTTTTTCCCCCAACCCCTTTATGAAAGCAAATTCTTGTTTCATCTGTCAGCAGAGCTGCTGTTCTATCTGAAGTTCTGAGTGGAGTTTTTGAATACTTGCGATGAATGAGCTGGGAAAAAAATTACTTTGTCCCTTTGACGCCATGGGTAGTTTGCAAGGCTGATGTATTTGTTCAGTTTGGAAATGTGATGAGCAATATTAGAGACCATACTTACATCCTTTTCATGCTAATTCATGGAAACAATTTTCACATCATATTGTAAGGTTTTAACATCTCTGTTACAGCTCAAGTGATCTGTAGCTAGCATTTGTTTCTTCAGAAAACTGAGAGCAAGCAATGCCCAGGATGTGAGCTTTTTTTTTCTTTTCTTCTCTCTTAGAACAAAATTGAATTATAATCCTCCAAAGGATGATGGCTCAACCTACAAGATTGAACTTGAAGGGATATCTGTTGATATCATGAAAGAGATACTAGATTACATCTTCAGTGGGCAGGTATGGTATTAAAAAAAACCTATATGGAAATTGAAACTACTTGGCAAAATAACCTGGGTTTTCACACTGCTATCCTGAAAGATAAACCTGTCGAGGTTTAAAGCTTTGTGATAAAACTTCCACAAAGTGATATATCACACTGGGGCTGTGCGTGTGAAGTAGAGGCAACAGGCTCTGCAGGAGTCATCTCTGCTCTTCTCGTGCAGTGAGGGAGGACTCTAAAAGAGTCAATGTCAAATGCTTGTATTAAAATTTGTGGCTACCTTCAGTAACCTGCTTTAAAACATGCAGTCCTTGACAGCTGTAGAAGATAACCGGTTTGATAGCAATAGAGGTTGAGACCCCATCACTGAACATTACAGTCTATGAGGCATCCCCCCTTGCTGACCCTCGTGCCCACCTCTCCAGCCTCTTGTTGCTGACAGCACGCCCCTTCAGATCTTTGTGCCAGTAGCCTTAGCAGGAATTCAAGTTGGTGTGTCCGGTTTATTCGGAACCAGATTGAGATTGCTGAATGAGTTTAACTTTCAGCAGAAAAAGAAAAGGCAGACGTGGCTTGAAATTCTCTTCTGGACATGCATTTTTAAAAATTATTTATTGCAGCAAAATTCACTTTAGGATCCCAGATTAGATGAGCAATTTTATGGTTACTTCAGGCGCAAAATTCTGCTTGATACCTTCTGTCAAGCAAATGCCTTTCCATCCCTGTGTTAATTTATAAACGTGTAGTAGTCATATCAATTTGTCGTAGTTTTTACACTGGCATTAATACTCCATTTTTCAGCCACTGAGAATGAGTGTAATGAACGCAGACATGTTGTGAAACAAATGAGTGATAGTAGCTATAACTTCTAAATTAATTCTTGCAGATCAGGCTAAATGAAGAAACTATCCAAGATGTGGTACAGGCAGCTGATCTCCTGCTGCTTACAGACTTAAAAACTCTCTGCTGTGAGTTTTTAGAAGGTTGCATAGCTGCTGAGAACTGTATTGGTATTCGGGACTTTGCACTGCACTATTGTTTGCATCATGTTCACTACCTTGCCTCAGAGTATCTGGAAACTCACTTTCGAGATGTCAGCAGCACAGAGGAATTCTTGGAACTGACTCCTCAAAAACTGAAAGAAGTACTGTCGATGGAAAAGCTCAATGTTGGAAACGAAAGATACGTCTTTGAAGCGGTGATTAGGTGGATTTCTCATGATTCAGAATCGAGAAAGGTCAGGACATCCAAATGTTTATATTTTGAATGTGGCCCAAATTGGTGTGTTTGTTCTAATTGGTGGGAACTTAAAATAGATACACTTCTTTCAGGGCTAATCTTGCACTTACAGAGTTAGTTGAATTTTGCCTGAAATGCAGACAGCAATATTGCAGTAAAAGGGTGAAAGCTGTGTTGATGATGTATCATCTGCTGTCTTTATCATTTAGTAGGCATTAAGAAAAAAAGTATCTTTTTGGCATTTGATGATATAATCTTGTTTTTGTAGATATAGTCTTGTTTTTGTAGAGAGAAAGCAAGTAGCACGTTTGTAGTGAAACTTTGAAGACTTGATGCATTTTCTTAATAACATTGTGTTGTAGGTTTTGTTATTACTTCCAAATATAAAAAATATTCTTTTAAGTTTTTGGTAAGTATGGAAGCATCTGTATGTACGAGTGCCTTAATGCTGTTTTGTAACATTTGGGGGATTTTCTGGCATTTATCTCTGTCTGTAGGTTCACATGAAGGATGTCATGTCAGCGGTGTGGGTTTCGGGCTTAGATGCAGCGTATTTACGTGAGCAGATGATGAGCGAACCACTGGTACGGGAGATCGTCAAAGAATGCAACAATATTCCCCTCACGCCGCCCCAGCAGGGAGAGGCGATGCTGGCCTCCTTCAAGCCCCGGGGTTACTCGGAGTGTATAGTGACTGTTGGTGGAGAAGAACGAGTGTAAGTATGAAGTGGCATCACAGGTCGTCACAGCTGGTAAAAATACAAGTGTCTAGCGTTCATGGCATGTCTGAAAACACAGTGTGGTGTGGAGAGAATATGTGCATCTAATGTGGTTATTACTTTGTCATTTGAGTTTGGTTTTAAGTTGGTCAGACACACCTAAACTACCTTTGTGAATGATTTGGCAAAAAATAGTTATTTTGTGATAATTTTCTGACATTCAACATGTAGTAGACTTGGAGTGAGACGTGTTGTTTGTTCAGTAAGAGTTGGCTGGTTGGTTTGGTTGGTTTTTTTTTTATACTGAATAGACTTTACTCAAAATAAGCACAGAAAGTTGGAGAAAGACTTTTCTAATGATCTAAAAAGTTTCTATAATAAATCTTAAAAATAATGAACGTGTGCTTTAACTGTTTTGTTTAGAATAGCTGTGGCTCCAAAAAAAAGTCATTATTGGTGCATCCAAGATGCCAGGTGAAAATTCCTGTTCCGCACAATAATCCCTTTCTCTTCTTGAGTACCCCTTGCAGTAGAGGGGAGGGTTTTGTCCTGTTTAAATAAGTTTAGCACTTAGATGTTTGCTCTTTATAGAAGTGTAATAAATATTCAAATAACATTTTGCACGTCAGTTTGTGGATCGCTTCACTCAGGCATTGCTAATACTCTCTGTCGGTTCTCTTTAGTTTGTTCAAAGTTCCTTCATAAAAAAATGTTACAGGCAGATACAATACAAATGAAGTGCATCTGCTTTTTATGTCTCCAGTCTGTACAAAAATAAATTTACACATATTTGGTTTGGGGGTCTTCTCTTTATCAGGGAAATGCCATGCTTTATGAATATACGTTAAATCATGAACAAACAAGTTTTGAACAAAAGTTGTTAACAGTGAACTCGTAAAACTCTGTCTTGTCTTTCTGGTTTTGTTTGTTCCCTCCCCTACCCTGTGTTCAGATCACGGAAACCAACCTCAGTGATGCGGTGTATGTGTCCTCTTTATGATCCCAATAGACAGCTCTGGATTGAACTTGCTCCTATGAGTATTCCAAGGATCAATCATGGAGTATTGTCAGCAGGTAAAGGGGAACTTTGTATTTGTAAAATCAATATTATGAAAACTTACCAGTGCCTCAAAATCTGAGATAAAGAGAAAATATTATTATAAGCTGTAAATTTGACTGCACTGGGGTTATTTCATGCTTCCCCTTTGTCTGCCCAAAACATTACTTGATTCTGTGAAAATCCCAGTCATCTGAGTGTCTTAAAATCACTATTCCCGCAACATTTTGTGGGAATCTGCTACATCTGTCTCTCCAGGAGTATTTAATGTTTTAAGTAAATCCTAGTTGGTGCATCACTGAATATGTTGAAGAGTATCTGCAGGGGTAGACTTGGGTCCAGATATAAGTATGTGCTTTACCTTCTCCAGTCCAGAGTTTGACCTGTGACTGGTCTGAACTTCTTAGTGAATTCCAGGGTACAGCTCACCAGTCACGTCTTGCTCAGTGTACAGGTGTGAGTCCTGTTTTTAAGATCATGTTACATTTTGTTTTACAGAAGGATTTTTATTTGTGCTTGGTGGTCAGGATGAAAACAAGGGAACGCTAAGCTCTGGAGAGAAATATGATCCAGATACCAATTCATGGAGTTCCTTACCACCAATGAATGAGGCAAGATCATTATCTAACTGTTGGGATTTAAGTTTTTACTTTGGCAAAATGTTCCTTTTCTTCTGCAAAATTTTATTCTGAATCTCCAGTCACTTGCATCTTACACATTCAAAATCATGCTACAGACTGACTTCTGTTTATATTCTGTTGTTATACTTGTGGTCTGATACTTACTGCCAGATCTGGAAAAACTAAACAATTAGTGAAGAGCTAGCTGTAAAGATGAACTACAAAATTTCAGGAATTTCATAATGAATCGGTCATATAGTATACTTAATGTTCTGTGTATACTGCCTTTCTAAAACAAGACAACTCTTAAATGGACAAAAGGATCAGACTGTGCAGAAAAGATGGACAGAGGACTGGCCAACATACAGAACTTGGCTTGCACAGACATATTTAGGTTTGGTTTGAGTTAATGCTTCCTTCTTCATATTTGCATTCCATCAAAAACTAACAGTTTATTATTTGTAAACATATATCCTTAATACACCTGTGTTTTTATCTTCTTAAATCAGCATAGGGTGTTTATTAAGAAATTGTTTGCCACAGGATTTTCCTCATTACAGTCTCTGGTTGGCAAAGGCCTGTAGTTTTGGCCACATTTGTAGTTACGATGCGTTAAGTTTCCTGCTTACTCTGAGTAAGACTTTACGATACACTGTGTTTCCTGTTTGCTGTTTACTCACCCCTGTGAGACTGAGGGTATCTGTGCTCCTACATACAAAATAGAAGAGCTGCCTTTGCACAGATAATGGGTCCCAGTTTTGCTGCTGTAGAGACCTGAAAGCAACAGCTTCATTGTGGAGACCACTACTATGCAAACTGAAATACGGCCAAGCTCTGTTCTTAGGTTTCTGTGTGGTCTCTGGCTTTTGCTGCTCTGTCTTTTTTGAATACCCTTTGTTTTGTTTAGTTGAATAAATTAATAATCTTATTCTGGAGTTTAGGACTTCACCATTTAAAACCAAACCAAAAAATCCAAAACAAAACCCAAAAAACCAAAAACCAGGCATAACACCAATATCACTTTGCAGGCAGATGTGCTGAAAAAAAGATAGTATTGACTTATTCACAACGGCAGTTATGTTTTACAATGTTGACTTTATTGATATTCCTTAGGCACGACATAATTTTGGTGTGGTAGAGATTGATGGAATTCTGTATATTCTGGGAGGTGAGGATGGTGAAAGGGAGCTAATCTCTATGGAGAGCTATGATATTTATAGCCGGACCTGGACCAAGCAGCCAGACTTGACCATGGTTAGAAAGGTAAGAACTATATCGTATGTTATCACATTACTTATTGTTAAGTAGTTAATGCCAACATACATATATATTATTTTTTTTTCAACCTTTTGCTTCAAGGAGAAGCTGTAACAAATAGTCTCAAAATGAAATGAGGGAGAGCAGCTTCTTTATTTATATACCAAAACAAAACTGTGGCTGAGAGTTTTTATGCACAGCATTGTTTGACATGCGGTACAGGCAACACAAATACATACGTGCGTGTATGTGTATATAGTTAGTTTTGAGCTCTCAATACTGTGCATTTGTGTGTAATTTTAGATGTACTTTTTCTTTTTCCACAAGATTGGCTGCTATGCAGCTATGAAGAAGAAAATCTATGCAATGGGTGGAGGCTCCTACGGAAAACTGTTTGAATCTGTTGAGTGTTATGACCCTAGGACTCAGCAGTGGACAGCAATCTGTCCTCTGAAAGAGAGAAGGTGAGTGAAAATGGAAGGGGGGGACTAGATTGCTGTGTACAACCTTCTTTAACACTGTGATGAGAGGAAGTTGTCCTTTCTCTGATGAATCCCTGAAGATGCCTGTGAGAGGCCCTATGAATTTCACCATGTCTTTCTGAATCATGGTGGCCTGTAGTTAACATGTGGCTGAGTAAAGAGAAGCACCCAAGCAATAAATACGAATTTTGTAGACATACACTCCTGATGTCACAATTAATGCTACGCTGATGCAAAATGAAAACCAGAAATTGTAGTTCAATTGGAACTTCAGATTTTGACCAGAGATAAATGCTTTGCTGTTTTGTTCTTTTACATGGTCTGAATTAAGTGCTTACAACTCATATTCACGACTCATCTAATCTTGTTGAGCATAAAAGGGGTGTGTGTGTATATAAATTAAAAAAAGGTAAAAAAAAATGGAGAAAGTTCAGAAGGATATATGAAATGGTTTTGATATGTTGCATTTATTTTTGTTTTTCTTATTTGGATTCTCAGATTTGGGGCAGTGGCCTGTGGAGTTGCCTCTGAGCTTTATGTATTTGGCGGGGTCAGGAGTCGTGATGACAGTCAAGCCAGTGAGATGGTGACGTGCAAATCTGAATTTTATCATGATGAGTTTAAAAGGTAACTAGCTGCAGCTATAAACATAGAAAACAGATGCCTTACACACTCGCCTGTCTGTTCCCCCTCCCTTGCTCCAGCACTTCAAAGTATATTAGATCTTTGCCATGCGTCTCTGTTACTCATTCTACCTTTTATGATCCAGTATGGCTGCTACCAAATGTCCATCTACTTCAGTGGCTTGTCCCTCTAAGGTACCAAGGCTAAAGCCCTGGGCCACCGTGTCAGTCTCGAGTGCCCCTGAATGGGAGAAACACCTTGATCATACAGGTAGTTTGCCTGGTTCTTCCCCTGCACTCTGCAATTACCGGTGCCCCCCACCCGTACTCATGCCCTAGGCTCCTCGTGAGTGCTCATGGAGGAGTGTAAGTACGTACAGGATACTTCTCCATGATCCAGTCCTATCTCCAGGGATTTGCAGCTTAGGGAATTCCTAAGCTAGAGATAAGAAATCTCATGCATTTTTGTTCCAAGCATTTACAGCTGATTGCTTTTTGAACCCACGTAGGCTTTTGCCATAGGAAACACACTATGGATGCTATACACTCCACAGCCACCTCGACACAGTGTGCATGGCTTATCTCCTTTTGTTTGTTTTGAATCTGCTTCTGATTACTTAATTTGTTACCTCTTGGCTCTGGCATTGGAATCCACCTTACTACGAGTGGTAATTATTCAAAATGTTAAATTAGACAAAATTTTGTGTCTAGTCACCTTATTCTCCAGTCCTAACCGACAAGCTTTTGGTTCCTCCAGTGTTTTTTTCTTGCATATAACTATAAATTGGACGATTCTCTTTTTTATAAACTAAATTGAAATAAGACTTTGTGGTCAGATGTTTCAAGGCTTGTTGACAGTGGAGGAGATTAATATGTCTGTGTTACAAGTCAAGACTGATTTATGATGTGATCTGCATAAAAGCACTCAAAAATAGAATGGTAGATGTACGTTCATTATATAATTTTCTTGCAAGAGGCAGATGTAAAGAGACTTTAATCTGTGTATGAAGATGTCTTGTGTGATGTCCAAACTAGCTATAATCGAGTGAAGCTGGAGAAAAAACACTCTTTAAAGTGGTTATCAGAAGCAGACAGATAAGAGAGGCTATTGCTGCTGATGCTGTCTAGAGTTTTCTAGCCTTATGGGGGTGTGGGGAAATGCTAAAAGCTGATTAACTTTTTGGCAAGAGGTCTTTGAAAGGGAAAGAATTCTGGAAAGAAGTGCTCCTCTATCTCCTGCTTGCTACTTTTAGTTGATTTGCCTGAAATATTTCCAGGCTGATTCTGTTCTTCAAAAAGTGATAGATAATAGCTCACGATTCTGCACCAGCAACTGTTGTAAACCTGTTTCACTGGATGATATAGACTGAGCTTTCATAAAGTGGAGCTTGAAAAATCTCGGAGGCTTCAGCCTAGGTGCTGCAGGTGAGTCCTTGGTGCCACCTGCTGACTGCAGCACAGACGCCTGCCCGGCAGTATTTCTAATGTGTGTATTTGTGTCTTTGCTTGGTGGCACCCCAGAGGTGTTACAGGATCCAAGTAAAATTATAATAAAAATCCGGTTGCTTCAGGACTTGTTCTAGCACCCCGTATTTTGTGTGCGTGGCACGAGGGCTGTGCTGGCACAGGGGAAGATGAGGCAGCAGCAAGTTTAGAAATTTAACTCAGCATAAATTTGTGCTTGCACTGCAGATGGCTCACAGGTTGTGTGTTTTCCTTTGGAAACGGAGGGCCAGCAAAGACCGGGACGATGGCCACCTCTGCTTCTAGCGCTGCTAGCTGCGGTTTGTGCCTCTGCTCTCCATTTTGGAAGGCCCCCGGTTCCAGTCCCGGGAGGCAGAAGGGGTGTTACCGGCCAGAAGAGGGTGCAGTGTTACTGCGTTATGTTCTAGCACTCCAGCTCGTGGGGTCTAACAGTTACCCCGAATTTTGGTACCCTGGGAGTGCTGTGCAGGATGGATGCCTTTAAGGGTGGCTGTGGCAGTGACTGTGAGACCTGAGCAGTTGTACCTATGTGGAAAAGAGAGAAGATAGCCATAAAGGGACTTCCCTTCAGAATGCAGTTAGCAAATGCTTCTGCCTGCCAAATACTGAGACAAAATACTTTGTTGTCTGGTACGCTTCTTTGAAGTAACATTGAATCTGGAAAATTATCATAATTTCATTATATAGTGTTTCACAAATATCAAATGAATACCAAATGAAGGCAAGTCGACTCTCTGGAAAACATGAGGGTATTATTTCCTGGGCTGATTCAGAAATAGCAGAAGACAAACCTAAATCACTTTATCTTGAGTGAAGGATGAAAGCTTAAATAATATGCTTCTCTTAAGTCTGTGAAAACCTTATGCTAAATACCGATGTGTGTGTGTGTTTGATTAGTTAAGCAATTCCACTTGCAGCGGGTGTCATATGCTCTGCTGTGCATCATTACTTGAGAGTAAAGCATAACTGATGCTATAGATTGTCCACCTGTGGTAAAATCTCACTCGCTCAGTTCCTTAGTGCATATATATATATATATGCACTTAGATATATACAAAGACTGATTCTTCATCTTAAACATTATGCAGTTGCTACAAGGTGATTAATTTATAATTGATAAGTGTGTTTATTTCCTCAGCAAGTTTCTGAAACAAATAAAGGTAATTAGTCCCCTTCAAACCAGCAGCTTCAAGAAGTCATCATGAAGGATATAAGCACCTTCAGACTCCACAGCGCATATTCTTTTTGTAGTGACAGTGAAGGAATAATACTGGAACTGTCAAAGCTGAAATACCACATTGACAGTGTATGTGTATGTTATTGACAGAAGTCCAAAAGTGTTGGCTTAAGAGAGATTTGTGGAAAGGAGGAATATGTTTGCAAGAGCATTTAGCAGCAGTGGGTCAAAAGCACAGCACATAAATTCTAGCAGTCTCAAACCAAAATTCAAAGTGTTTTTTTAATGGTTGCATATCGGTATTGCATACTTCATAATGAGCTACAGACTTTTCCAGCTGTTTTTAAGTAAGTGCAGAACTCCAGCATGTTCACTTTCTTTTTGAATGGAAAGAATTTGTTGTACTGTGAGTTCAGCCATCAGATATTGTTGGTTTACAGGTACGTGCAGCAATGCACGCGTGTGTGATCTGCATTGTTTTTCATGTACCTCAGCTCTCATTACCTGAGAATACAGGACCTAGCATCATCCTAGGCATCCAGAGTCCACGAGGATCTGAGTTACGGGGTTTCCTTAGTGTATGTGTCTAAGTATGTACTTACATCAGTATATAAACATATCAATTCATATAAACCAGCATAATTCTGGCTTGAATTGGATTAAAGGACTGAAGTTTAATTTGTTTAATATTGCTTACTTTGACAGTAACTTAGTCCAGAATAACTCACAGTGCACAGTCTTTCAAAATTGTTATTCTTAACCATGACACGGACTTTTCTAAAGACTAGGAATATGCCGAGATCTTCATATGAGCAAAAAAATGAACACTGAGACTCCTGTTAAACTGTACTGTATAAACAAGTAACAAAATAAATGAAGTGAGACAGAGTAGTAGCATACACATGAAATGTAGACAGGATAATGTAGAAAATAATTCTCATATTTAAAGTACTTATGTAACTGAGATTTTTCAATTAATAAGTGTTTTGTCAGCCTGTCTTTAGTCATGTGCATGAGTGAATTTAAGTGAACCGGGGATAGAAAATGTACGTCAGACAGCAGGTTTTTTCAGGATGTAGATTTTTTTTTTCCAAAGGCTATAGATTGAACTTTGTGTGCATTATATCCTGTTTTTTAAAATATTGATCAAGCTAAAAATAGATTTAAAAAAAAGTTAAAGTGTGAGGTGGAGATGTAAGGGTATCCTTTGCTCAATGATCCAGTGTTGGTCTACTCCATAAAAAGCAGGAAGTCTTAACTACATATTAAAGACCTTGATGGGTCAGTCTTTCCTTCTACCAGAGTTCATAATTTATTATATGCCTTTTTGCATCACATAGGTGTGTGGAGAATTTGATGATGTCTGTACAGACTGGGTTATTTTCTTTTCAGTGTGGATATTTGGAGATATTTAATAGAGCACAAATTGGCTTTAGGATTCTTTGCAAGAGCTGCTGGTGGAGCTCTGTCCTTGAGTATAGCCGCTGCTGCCTTTCACTGGTGGTCTGTAAGTGGGGTAGGCTTTCTTCCTTCTTTTCACGAGCTCCTGGTTCAAAAGCATTATCAAAATTTGCAGGTATTGAGGGGGATAAAAGTGAGAGATACTTGTTCAGAAGCAATACTTGGTAAAAACTCCTTAAAAATATTCTTTTTGCTGCTGGAACAGCGTAAAAATAAGGAAATGCTTTCAGCAGTGTGCAAGTAGTAAACTAAATCGTGACATAGTATGTGTAATTAGGAAGATTCTCTCATTCAGTGTGTAGGAATTTCATTAAAAGAAAGTGCTTATGCAAATGTAATGAGAAAACTAACTGGCTGACTTATAGCGCTGTCAGATGAAAGGAACATGGAGAAGATTTTCATTCATTTGTACGCATGCTTTCACAGCTGCTGTGAGCTTGAGGTGATGTGTCTGGAATATGTTGGTTCTGTATCGCATCTCTATTTACTTCCCATTTGGAAATAAAACAGTTACCATCCTGCTTATTAATTACAGCAGTATGGATGGATTTTTTTGTTTATATCACTTTAAGAGTGAAAAAAAATCAGGATTCCTTCCCCTTTTTTTAATTTGAGTGGAAGCATATTTCAGCTTCAGAGCAGTCCTTTCTGTCTGTGGTTACAGAGGTACATGCCTTCTCCCCTGCTACTCTCGGATTCGGTTTGAGTAGAGCCATCCCAGGGAAGTACGCAAGAGTTATGTTCCAAGGAGTGTTTTCAAATTCCTGAAGACTGTGAATTTTTTGTCATGGTGTTTTTTCCATACTGTTCAAACAGCAGGCACAACCCACATTAAGCTGGAGCTTAGTCAAATTCTGATGAAACGTGACCCCTTGCCCTTCCCGTCTTTGTTCCTTCCTAGTTCTAACTGCTAAAGCTGCTGTAAGCGTTCCTGAAAAGTTGTGCCTGTTTTTTAAAGTATATGCGTTGAGAAAGGCTGAGGATGAATCTTCACAAGCAACTAAGATACTAATATTATCCTTTCTTGATGTGCAGTAGGAAAATGCTTGGGTCCCACAGTGTTGTGGGTTTTTTTATTTAAACCTCAAAACCTGGATTATCTGGTGCAGACAAACCCCTGAAGTTTACATGTTTTCCAAGCTGAGACTTCATCAGTAGCTAGGCTGAAATAATTTAATTTTTTTTTCCCTTCTTCAACATGGTCCTATATTTACTATTAAAAAAAAAAAAAAGGAAAGAAATTGCAGTCTACCTCCTGCATTTCTCTGCCACTTATTCAGTTTTCATAATTCTAGGTAACTTGGTGCTAAAAAGCAGCAGACATGCTGACTGTGTCCTCTTCCCACAGTAAGGAAAGGAAGTGAAGGAAATAGGGTGAAAGGTGTTTTGCTCTGTAACAGAGTTTCTAAATCAGTGTAGAGGACTTCTCCTTTTCTCTGTTCTCAGTTCATCCGTTGTCCTCTGTGATGGCTACAAACCATTCCCGTGCTTTCTGCAGAATCTTAATCCGTCCGTGCATAGCACAGACCAAATAATGGACAGCTAATCCTTTCATTTGGCCTTTAAAAATTGATCTCTCTCTCCAAGATAATTGATACGTAGCGGCCTCTCCTTCAGTGCTAGAAGAGAGTCTTCTGAATCATGAGTTAAAATAATGCAGAATTTTCAAAGGTCAGCAGTATCCGTGAGGTTATTTCCTAACTTCTTCCCTCAAATTAACCAGGGGTGGCCATGAAAATACATGGGAAGCTTTCCAAAGGTTTTTCAAATGTTCCTGTTCTCTGTACATTATTTAATAAAAGATCTAGGAGTAATCACCTAAAATAGCATTGATTTGTCTGTCTTCAGGGTCTAGAAATAGTAACCGTGACAGCATCTGCAAAAGTGCAGCAGCATTTTGTAGAAATTTGTTTCAGAACCATAGAGAGGATGCTGACAAATCTAGATAAATGGGACATCTTTATAAGCCGGTGTCCCATGTGGGTGATGAGTACATACTTACCTGGTTTCCAAAGGCTTCAACTGCTTTTCACTTGGTAGAAAGATCAGGCTGATGTAGTGTTGAAATGAGAATACGCTTAAAGTGAACATAAGGGACTTGTAAGGTTACAGTAGGAGCTAGGAAGTGATTGAAAAGAGCCTGATACGTGATCGGGAAGGTCTGTTTCAATTCCAGGTAACGGACGTTTCTTTTCTTTCCCAAAATCCCTTACCATTTTGATTTCCAGTCTTCTGTCCCTTGTTTAAAGTTAAGCATTGCCAAGTGCTGCATTCTTCTTACTGGACTGGGGATTTCTTGTCACTGATAAAGTGCCATTAAAGAAGTTAGGGAATTATATGGGGGAAGGCACTGCTTAATAAAGAGGCCTTGCTATATAGCAATTTATTTCCCCTCGTATGAACTATTAAGACTTACATGCTTTTATGACTCTACTGATTTTAAGACAAAGCTGCCTAAAATTTTCTCTGTAGAGAAAATTGACTGGCATAGCTGTTGTAGAAGAAGCTCTCTTACATGCCTGCTTTCTTCCAGAAGGTCACACTGGGTGGCTGCAAGAAGAATTTATTCCAGATAGATTACACAGATGAGTGGAGCAATTCTGAAATAAAGTAACTTCAGGATAGAGTATCCCGAGCTTCCTAAGCAGCATACCGATTGCTTTTCCTGACTAGGAAAAGCCAAGACTGTCCTGAACTAGACAATGTTCTCAACAGTTTCTACGTAACGAATTAACTTGTACACTCTGCTTTTGATTCAAAGATGGCAGTTGCAAAAACAACCTGGAATTCCTTTAATGTGCTCAATAAAAATTGCATACCAGTTTTTTTATTATTATTTTCACAGATGGATTTATCTAAATGACCAGAACCTATGTATCCCAACTAGTTCTTCCTTTGTATATGGAGCTGTGCCCATTGGAGCCAGCATATATGTGATTGGAGATCTCGATACAGGTCAGAATTAGAACTAATAACCTCCTGTTGCTTGTCTTCTTCCAGTCTTTTAAATATGTGGCACTAACGAGACCGTATTTTTTTAGAATAAAAGGCTGGGACTATGTTCTGTTAAGTTACTGTTGTCTTCAGGGGAATTATGCTGGACATACAGAAATGTACAGGTTGGTTTTGTACATTGGAGCTCTTCAGAAACGAATTTGGTGCTAAAAGCATTTGTTCCACTAGCAGTTTGAAGATAAGAAGCGATCAAGACTAAGAGTATGTTACTGCATTTGTCTAAATATAAGAAAAAGTGTTAGTGCCTGAGGTTGTTTCTCCCACCTTTGCAGCGGTAAGCAGGTGGTTCTGCGTTTTGGGGACATCGTCCAGTGGTTCATATGGATGTGATAGTGGCTCTTGGCTCTAAATCCCAGCCGAATAAATGTGTACTAACACACACGTTCAATACTCGGCTTTCAGCATCTGGCCACATACTGTAAAAAACATTTGGAAGACTACATGCTTTCATGGCCATATGTACATATATGGCTGTGTAACAGGGCTTTCTACAAAATATGAAAGAGCAAAATTCTGAGTGTGGTGGGTTTAAGTAGATAAGAAATGTCATAGTAGTTTCCTTTTGACAATAATTCCAACCATACGTCCAGAAATTGATTTGTGTTTCTGTGCGTGTTCTTGTTCACGTATTTGCCTTATTAGAGGTTAAATGTGGTGATAGCTACGGTATGTTTTAAGCCTTTTGTCTCTTTTTTGTGCATGTGTGAATACAGGTACAAATTATGACTATGTTAGAGAATTTAAAAGAAGCACGGGAACCTGGCACCGCACTAAACCACTGTTTCCATCGGACCTTCGCCGTACTGGCTGTGCAGCTTTGCGGATCGCAAACTGCAAGCTCTTTCGACTGCAGCTTCAACAAGGATTATTCCGCATTCGTGTACCTTCTCCGTGATCCGTATGCCGACAGTGGAGGAGACTGGAAGAATTCTGCGCAGTCCACCATAATATAGCTCTATATAAAGGAAAAGCTGAGAAATTACAGCTGAAACTTACACTGTATGCTGTGCTTTGGTATGGTAACTGTTTTTGTTTTAAATGCTTAAAAAGCTTGAGTCTCAGTTCTTGTTTCAGGAACAAATAACTTAAGTATACATTACAAAGAAGAGAGGGGGGAGAAATAAAAGGGGGGATTGAGGAAACACCTTCAGTTGTAACCATTTGGAGTTTAAAACGTGTTATTGAAGGAGGATTTTTTTGTGTCTGAAACTGGCGGGAATTGGTATTCCTTTGGTGAATTTTATTGAAAAGCAAAAAAGATTTAAGATGCGTTTCCCCTGAGGGGAACTGATAAGAATAAATGTGCTATCTTGGACTGGATAGCTGTAATACACAGAAGCTATATGATAACCAACCTCCCTGGTATACTGCAAAGACTGTTGTTTGACCGTAATGCCGTAGGAGATGTTGGTTGTTGCACCTTTTATTTCTGGTCCTTCCTCAAAAGTTAAGGTCTGTGCCTAAAAATGGTGGAGGTGTGTACATACGGTTTTTCATTCATTTGCAATGTTTTCATTCCTACAAATATTTTTAATATATTTAAAATGGACTAATCTGAAACAGATACAGTATACTGCAGAGAAGTAAACTGTTTTTTCTATGCTGTCATTTGAATAGCCTGATGAGCTGGCATACAGGTGGGTGGCGTGTGTTTCTTTTGGTGGCTGTTACTTTGAAGTAAAAAGGGAAGTGGTGTTTGGAATGGTTAATGATGATTGCTGCTTTTGGTAAAAGACAACAAAACTTGACAAATTCAAGAAAATAGGTTGTATTCCTTTTTACTTCAGATCGCTTGCAAACTAAGAATGGTTTTTAAGACTGAGGATTATAGAAAGGTGCATTTTATCTCCGTTAGAACAAAGGTGAAATATGACAAGGAAATATCTGTTTTGCAGAAAACATAATTTTTGGACTGAGTTAAGAAAAACTTGTACAGTGACTTTAAATTGGGATCAAAAGTTGGTTTATGATTTCTGTGCTAAGGTACAGTCTTGGCTACTGCTGTCTGACTTTGAAAGCTGGGTTTTATGGTGTGGTTATAGTGAAGAATTTAGTATCCTGCATTTTATTTCTTACTAGATCTTGTTCGCATCAGTAGCGATATTTAATTGACTTTTGTTCGTAGTCAAGATCAGCTGGTAGAACACTTTTACCTCAATTTTTGATTTCATTATTGTTGTGGTGGGTGGGACGTAACCTGTATTTATTTAAAAGGAATAAAATGAGAGAGATGGAAATAGAAATAAGACCTCCTGCCCTTCAGAAAAAGAGGCTTTGTATAACCAGTATTATAACTACATACAATACTTTCCACTCTGCAACTTCGTGGACCTCAGACAAGCCAATCTCTGCCCTCAGTTGTGTTAGTGTAAACCTTCGTCATCTTTACTGAATCATCTTAGATGTGCTGAAATACAATCCCAAACTAGTACAAAATAGTTATATTTCACTAAATATTCCTTGAAGAGACATTCTGAAATTTACCCCTGCTCAGTCCTTCCATAGCACTGATGTGTGGTTAGAATTACTCTGATTCTGAGCAAAGGGGTGAGGGAAAAAAAACCAGAGGGCAACAGCCAATCCAGTGACCATTATTTATTTTTTTATTTTTATTTTTTACAAAGCTGAAGTGCTGCAAAACTTGAACTATATACATCAATTTTCTGACCTATATTAGTTGGTGTATTAAAAAGTTTATATATTTATGCATTACAGTAAACTTGGTGTGTGTGTATATATATATGTCTTTAGATTTTAAATTTATATATAATGCTTTACTACAGAAATGTGAACCACTATTTCCATCCTTGGCTGTCTTGTGAAATAAATCAAGTGCTGTTAGTTTATCTGTAAAACTTCCCTTTTTTGAAAATCTTATGTTGTTCAATTTTTTTCCTTAGACAAAGTGCCAAGATCCCATATTCAGAAGTGATGAATGTTCCTAAGCATCTAGTTCACTTTTGAGTTCAGTTTTCTAAGCTAGTTAGAAAACTTTCGAAAATGTTATTCAGAATATTGCAGGCTGCTATCTCTTGAGTCCCTGTAGCTTCCCAATACACTTGAGGGCATTCAGCATCCAGAAAACCTAAGTAATAAATGCACATAATAAATCCAAATCATATATGCTCTAGCAGTGTTCTGCAGTTAAAGTTATTGAACCAAATGTTTACACTTCAAGTAGGATTAACAGTAGGTATTCTTACTTTTTTTTCCCCCAAACATAAACAAATCTGCTGGTAATTGGAGTGTATTGCGAATGCACTCGGTGAGATTTGACCAAGGAGTTTAAGCCTCTTCACCTGAAACAGTTACTAACTTAATTTCTTAGCATGTGTGTACTCCTGTTGCTTTCTGTGCAGTTGGCGGCCAGGGACCAAGTCTCTAGAGACATTGTCTCCTGGAGTTTCGGGTGCATGCTCGAGCCGAAGATTTAAGCACTCCTGAGATCTCAAAACTAGCTTCCTTGGCCTTGCTTCAAGGGGATGGGGATCATTCCCCATCTGCATTGTCTGTGGGGCCGATCCAGGAGATGTTCTAGCCTCTGTGTGCGTAGGCGGGAAGGGATGCATCTTTCGGGGTCTGACTTGTATGTGTCTGTCTGTCCAGTTCTGATCTGCAAGCCCGGTGATGAGTGCATCTCTTGGGATGTGCAATAACCAGGTTCGATGCCTCCCGATTTGGAGCAAGGCTTTGAAGCCAAGGCTTTCCTTTCTCCAGGGAGAGCCTGATTGTACAGGTGATGGTGTATGAGAGAGGGATAGCTAGCCTCTGACTTTTCTTGGGAAATAGGTGGTTGATCTCAGTAGAGGAGGGAGGCTTTGATACCAGAGGTGCTGAGTGGAGGGAGGTCACCAGTTTCCTGAGTATGTTGAACATGCGAACAGCTATAGATTGAACTGGGTTCACTGGTACATGCCACCACCCCAGCTGTCCCTGCTTTCCTGGCGGCGGTGTACCCCTGCATATGATGGCTGAACTACACAGGAAGCAATTTGCCAATTTTCTCAGTTTGCAGTCTAGGGGTTTTAGGTGGTTTGGCAGTTTAGAAACTTGTTTAAGTTGTCTTTGCTTGGCACAGTAGCCTTAATTCCTTCCACCTTGTGAATCGGCACTCAAATACAGCCAGTTCCCCCACAGGTGATGTTCTGAATTATTTTCTCAGCCAGCTGTCTGTGCAGTCCGCTGGCTTCCAAACATCAGGTTTTTAGGCACCTTCCTTACTGATTTACCAAACTGGGTGCCTCACTGGGGTTGTGAGTTCGTCACAGCATTGAAACGCTGATGTTTTGAGACCAACGTCTGTATCGCTGAAGGGTGCCGCCGACTCGGTGCCCACCACACCTCGGATCGGGGCTGGGTCCTTGGGTGCAGGTCTCAGGTGGTTGCATCTTGAGTCAAGGTCAGCACAACCCCAAACGAGGACTGGCTGGGTCGCGTGGCAGGCTTGAGTGACGTGGTTTGGGCCTCTGCATCCTTTCCTTCCGCTGCTGTAGAATTGTACAAACCCCAGCCATTGTAATCAGAAGACCACCACGTATGGGGTAGGGGTTGTGGAGGATGAGAATAGCGGTGGCTTTTTTCTCTCCTCACTCCACCTCTTACCACAATTCCACCACTCCCAGCCCCAAAGTTTCCTCTTCCTTTTTCCATGTGCCATAGGTTATTTTTGGAAAAACTCTGGAATTGCTAATTTAAGGGTAAAATCAAAACTTTGAGTGTAGAAGTGGGGAAAAAAGAGATAATACCATAAGTACACAACAGTGTCCTCTGTGCTTATTTTACACGTGTAGTCTTGTGGCTGCTCTGCACAGCAGAAGGAGTGATTACAGAAGCAAAGGTATAAAGTGCTGTTGCTCTCATAAAATAAATCTCTTGGGTTTCTTAGGGAGGCACACACCTGGCCTGGTCTCCGTTCCTTACCTGGCCTTGTGAGATGCTCGTGTTCCTAAAGAGTCAGTGTTGGGTTTCAAATTCTCATCCTTTCTGGTTTTATAACCTGAAAAAGAGGCATCCTGAAGAGCCTTCTGTTTTGTTACGCCACAGCAGGGTCTGCCTGTCCTCAAGTATTTTATCAGCTATTTCTTAAATTTTAGTTATTGTGAAAATGGTGTATCAACTCAGCTGTTCCTGGTCAAGTGACTTTCCGTGGCTTTGAGGGTACCTCATCTTTAAATTGAAAGCAAATTAATACGAGATTACACAAAAGGATAGCGGTGAATCTGAAAACAAAGGCAAATTTCCAAAATCAGGTCACTAATAACTGTGGGCAGGCTGTATCCCTTTTGCTTTTGACTGCACAAAACTTGCATGTGACACAGTCTGCCTTCTGAAGCAGAGTTTTGGCTGAAAATAGGAGTTTTTTCATCAAAGCTACTGAAGTGCCTGGCTTGCTTTATAAACTCCCCTTCCAGAAAACACCAGGCAGCTTAATTTCTTTTTTGCAATGTTTCTTGTGCCTGCATGGCTTGGTAAATGCACAAGTACAGAAGTGAGGGGTTTACAGAGCATTTTTCCCTGTTTTAACTGCAGTTTCTCTGGTTGTTTCCATAAATACTGTGGCCGTACAGCCTGCATGGGTTTTGGTCATGCGCATCTGCCATGCAAAGTGCAGGATGCAATAACAAATGCAAGTTGTTACAAGTGCCAAACTTTTGGTTTCCTCTGTATATAACAATAATTCAACTGTTCTATTAAAATACAGAGATGCTTAAAATTCACTGTGTTCCAAAAAAGAGCGGTGGTTCTTTTTTTTAAATGAATGCTATTTAAAACACTGTAAATCTTTACTTTTTTTTTTTTAAAACTGTTCTGCAGGTTTGTGTTACTCTTCACAGCTGCCTTGAGACATCACTCCATGTGATGCATACGGACACTTTGTTCTTTATTAGAGCACTAGTGCCATGCAAGTATATAATAAATGGCAGCTGACAACAGGTTTTAGTATTTAAAGTTATAAATATTTGAATAAAGTGCAATTCGTTTGAATTAATCTTATCTGCAGAAGGAAAGCTGTGTCTCAGGAGGTGTCACTATACCCAGAGACACAGGCATACTGAAGATTGTAACTGAGTTATGTTTTGGTGCCACTCACAGCGATGCTTTCCGAGGAGTTACATTGAATTTGGGGTATGGATCCTTTCTGCCTCTAATGTTAGCATCAAGGTTTTGGGGGTTGTGTTCCCTTAACTCTTTGGAGTACTTAAACAGCTTCTTCAGGTGGGTGGGAGGGGTGCTAATTATATAT